ATCGCCCTTTATTATTTCCTTTTTTTTATTTTCCTGATTGTTGTTTTTCAGCTTCTTATTTTAATAGCTTTTAAATTAAAAAGCCAATTTATTGTCGGTAAGGTTTATCACAGGCACACTCAGTAGAGTTAGACATGCGCACTCTTTCCGAGGCTGTCGTTCTATTGGCTGGAAAGGTTGCTAGGCGACGATTCGATCCAATCTGAAAGCAAAAAAAATCCGCAAGCAGAGCCTACGGGTTTGCGAGCATAACTGAGACTCGAGCAGAGCGCGGTTTGTGCGCGAAGAGAAGGAGGCAAGCGAGAGGAAAAAATATCTGTGCAAGAAGCATTAAATCTGAGAGAAGAAACAAAGATTTGAGAGAGAAGAGAAAATATTTGAGAGAGAGCGCATGTTTTGAGTGTGAGCATTATAAGTTTTGAGTGCAAGAAGATGAAATTTTATCTCAAAATGAAATGATGTGCTCTTGCATTATTGCAGGATAATTCTCCCATATTATTGGCATGCCACTTAATCTGGTGGCATATTCCATTGTTTTGCTGGCATTCCGCTTCTGTCTGGTGGCTTTTTTAACTGTTTTTCTTGAATCTCAGATGCATGAGTGTAATATTTTGCAATTAGCATCTGTGATTTTTTGACTGAACAATAAAAAGCAGAGCTGTGCATTCGATTAAGTCATACTAGATCCAGTGGCTAGGCTAATGAATAGCAGATTACCTTCCATTTATTTCTTACTGTAATATTGATAACAGGCTGCTTTTTTCAGAACATTTACTCACATCCAGTCAAAGAAAACATGGTTCATGCTGTCACTCCCCCCTTTGTAAACTCTCTTACTCTTTCAGCATTTCGGATGACCAGTACAGCAACTGTTCTGCAGATCCCAGTGGCCACCAGTGGACGTGCTCCTCAGCTCAGAGTAACTTCAGCTGCCATGTGGACAACAGCGGGTCTGGTGTTTCCTGCCTGGACCAGCAGCACTGCCCATACGTGGAGGAAAGACAGCAAATCCGTGTCACTGTCTTTGTAAAGACAAACGATTTTCTGCTGGAGAGCTACTCCAAACTGTTTTACTTGTCAGAAATAGGTGAGTTGCTCATTCCTTTCACCATGCACTTTTTTTTGGGATCTGGATTTATATTGTTGTTGTTTTTTCTGTGCAATTCAATTTTGCAGTGAAACCAGACAAGGTGAAAATAAGTAAAGTCAACAAAACTGTGATAGAGTGGAGTTATCCGAGTTCCTGGAACACGCCCTACTCCTACTTTCCCCTCACCTTCCAGATTTCACAGCTCAGGGGTCGATGCAGGGGGTGTGAAAACCCATGTGCAGACATAAAACCTTCAAAGGTAAGAAGAATTCCTTCGCTGGAGGAACTAAATTAAAGGAATAGTACACCCAAAACATGATTAGCCTTCATTTTCTACTCACCCCCATGCTGAACAACACTCTGGAGTACTTTTTTGATATCTCAAATGCATCTGGA